TTCTCTGTCTGTTTTTTTCCTGCAATACTCAGGATGTTTTCCTCACTTCCTCTCTGTGTTCATTATGAGTACTAAGCTCAGGGGTGTCAGAACATGCAATCTCAGACTGTCATCAGTGTGCAATGATCAGCTTATATAGGGAACACCTACTGGTTACCAGTAATGTTCATGTGTACATCAAACTTCTGCTAAAAGAGGGCTTATTTTATGGGGTGTGAGAAGTGAGGCAGCAAGTAAGGTGCCCATCAAGTCAGTGAAAGGAGCTATGGCTCAAGTCCAGCTTGTGCTGCCACATTGCATCCCTGAGCATCTGAGTTGATACTTGGTTGAGCATAAGTCACTAAAGTGTTTCTGGGTTACTGGTGCTGCTGCAGTTCTGAGCTTTCTGTCAGGGAATGAAACTATTCTGAATTTTCTTATGGTAGAATAATCACAGTAAGGTCACCTCTGCATGCACTTGACCTATTACTTTTCCCTGATGTTTGGGCCATGCTATGATTTAGTTGCTATTTCCAAAAAGCACTGTTTCTTTAAAAAAATGACAATTCAATTCTAAAACCCCAGAGTTGTCTTTGCTGGAATTTGGCTGAAGGTTGCATTTGCCTTTGCATGCGGTATGGGTTGTAAACAAAGTTTGCCCTGCTGTTTTTCAGAAGGAGCTACAAAGAAGCTTAAAATATGCATTTCTGTGTCTCCCTGGAGATTACTGTGCTTTCACCATTTACTTTCATCTGAATTGAGTATTGCTATTCAGATTTAACAATAGCATAGACCAAGTAAAGGAGCATAATATTAATCCTGTTTAGCTGGTCGTGTGTAATCCAGCTGTTCCTAACACCCTGTCTTGGATTCATGCCACTTGATGCATCTAAAATAAGAAGTGGAGAGGTGCTTATGTCTAGATGATGACTTCTATCTTGGTGGGAAGAGGTGTCCATCTCTCTCCATTGACCTTAGAGGAAGCTGACTGTGATGATCAGCTTAACTTGGGTGCTTTGTGAGTTCCTAAGGGTGGCTCAGGTAGTCAAGCCTCGTGTTGGAGAACCCATGCAACACGTAGGAGACCCATTGCATGTGTCACCTTTTGCAGCTTTACTGCTACTTGGGTTAAAGGAAATTCTGCTTATACTTTTGTAGAGCTGCTAAAAGCTTGTTTCAAGTTGGTTCTGTTTTGTGTTTTTAGTAGAGTCTCGTCCTATGCTGCTAGTAATGGGAAGGGTGATGCCTTTTGATTTGCACATGCATCTGGACTAGTAGTGGTTAGTAGTCAGTTTCCTTTAAGCCAGGAGGCGTAGCTGCTGCTGGCAACTCAGGCTACTGTAGCAGCTCAACAAGGGGCGTTTGGCTGCCGTTTAACCTTCAGTGGTCATAGTGCTTGCCCACTATCTCAGACTGCAGCTTTGGTATCTTTCCCTAACTATTTGGCTTTTTTATTTTTCCCTTAGCTATGACAAGCTTACTTGTGCATACACACTCAAGTAGATAATTAATCTGTCTCTCAACAGGCTCTGCTAGCCATAGTATTTTATTCAATTCCATGAAAGGAGTTACTTTTTCATTATGATGCTGGAAGGGTAAAAGGCAGCTTATTCTCTACTTTAAAAGTGCCATGATAGAACATAAAGCTTTCATTAAACATGCCTGGGTGAATTTATACGCTTAAGAATCTGAGCTGTGTCTAAAATTTTTTTGGAAAGAGAAGGAAATAACACAGCTCTGATAGCCAGTGTTTTGGGTTTGGATGGTTAATCAGTAATATAGAAAAAATGGTTAATTCCTTCATAGTTTTAGGCCAGGAAAAATAAAAAAACAAACAGAATGTCTGTTGCTGTAGGGTAGTTCTCCCCTTCTTGCCATCTTACAGCCTTTTAGGAGTGTTGGCATCTCAGTGGTTCACAGGTGATTGTATCCACATTGCAGTTCTTTTTGCTGGTATTAGCTAACTTGATAGAAGATTTGAAGTGTAATAGCTGGTGAAGGTGAAACAGCCGATTTCTACCAGGAGCTCTTTCATGCCGACTTGGCTTTGAGTGGGTACCTGGTTATGCTGCATAGTGTTTTGTCCTCAAATAGGTGAACTTGCCAGCAACTGGACATGTTTTGTCCCTTCTCTTGCATGTGTGATTGTCACAGACTTCAGTGCTAATGTTCAGCCCATTGTTTGTCACAGACTTCAGTGTACCTTTCAGGTGCATACGTGGACTCAAGCTGAGTATTGAGCCTACCTGAGGTGGTAAGTTTTGGAGGGTGGTCACAATATTACTTAGTGTTTTGCTAAGGGATGTCTGGTGGAACAAGCCCTGCTCCTGGGATTAACTGATTTTATAGATTTCCAGCAGCAATTGCAGTAAGCTGAGCAAAGGCAGGGGTCAAGACTGTGTAATAGTAGTTTTGTTTTTTTTTTGGTTCCTGAATTGGTTTGATGGCAGCACTCATTACTGCAATGGATAGAAAAAGCACACTGCAGATCAGCGGCTGGGTAACAACTTGCTATACCACCCAGAGCAGCTTTACAATTGTATGGGAACTGAGAGCTGTCTCACTGTGCAAACATAAAATAATTCTGGTCAGCTGCTTGGTGGCTTGTGTACAGGGCTTAGGCTTGTGTAGACTGGAGCTGCCTTCATAAATTAAGCACTTAGCTATGATGTGTGGAAAAGTGTTGTGCTTATAGCTGGCCCTGCCAAAGATTCATTATAGACTCGGTTGCAAGTTGATCCGTAGAGACAGCCATAGTGCTTGGCTCTCATAAATATCCTAGTTCGGGATATGTGGGAGAAGTGGTCTGTGGTTGGGCAAACTTCTTGGAGGTAAGATAGAGGTTCACAGTCTGTGGCAGAAGACCAGGAGCTGGGAATCACACAATGCTATCATTTCCATACTACAGGATTAGAAGAGGATGTCTGACCAAATAAGACGGGGAACCAAGACTTAGGGTTGAAAGCCATGAATGTGGCAATTGTATTGCAGTTTCAAAAAAGAGGTTTTTAAATATGTCCCTGTCTTGCCTTGGCAACTTTGAACACTCAACCACATGCAGGCACTAATATAAGTTACAAGACTGGTTTCTGTTTATTCCTCCTCCATATTCAGTGTATAAAGGTTATTTCTCTTCCATGGAGGCAGAAGCTTACTGGCACCAGCCCATGTGGCTCTCTGCAGCTGTAATTGGGAAGGAAGTGTTATGCTGCTGCATTTTCTTGTCACCACCACATCTCAACTAAAGGATTGATTTGGCTGCTGGAAGACGCAATGTAAACATTTGTTTAGGTAGTTGAAAATATCACATCATGCCGAAGAATGTTTATTGTAACAACTAAATATTCCTTGTATCATCTGCCAAACCGAGGGAAACTGAGTAGGAGCTGAGCTAAACAGGTCTGCATGGATTTAACACAGATAAATAGCCACTGCTGAGGGGGTGAAAGAAAAGGGAACTGGGAAGGAATTTTCAAGGCACAGAAAATATAGGTCCTGTATCGTTTACTCTCCTGTAACCTGGGTCCCTATTCAACAAATCCCTTTTCAGCTAAGTATTCGCAGATGCGTTTCCAAAGGGTTTCAAGTCTACAAAGACACAGAGAGCAGCACTTAAAAGGGATTTCAAAATCTGTGTTCTAGATGCGTTGTACTTGTTGAGTCTGTGGAGAATTTCTTCCTAGTCCTTGCTAGTTGCTTTCCTTGAACACCTTGGCTGTGAGACCTGTCTTAGCCAAGGCAAAGCAGTGTTTGTCAAAATACTTATCTGAGCTGAGGCCTTTACAATACAACAGATAAAAAAATAATGATGGGAAATGGTGACCAGAACAGGGTTTGTTAGGCCCAGATGGCTGTGTAAGCACGCAGATAAGTAAGGATGCCTAAACCTGCTGTCTAGGGGCAGGATTGCCCATGTGTTTAGCATCTCAGGAGTTTGGACCGGGCTGGTGGAGGCAGACCCATGAGGCTGCTTTACTTTCTGCAGACATTCTGCATGAAATACACTGTAGAGATTTGAAGGTGTTACAGTGATTAACTAAATGGGAACTTGAATGACAAAATGATCCTGTTATGCTGCTTAGGCTTGGCAGAAGGAGAGGTGTTGGGGTGCTGCTGCAGTGCATTTCAGAGCAGTGGGAATTTGTGACAGAGCAGAGCAGGTGTGAACACTCCAGATCATGACTAAGTGATGCCTTGGCTGATGAAGAGTGCTGTTTTATTCCTTTCTCTTCGATGTTTTCTTCCAAATGTAATTTGCAGCAATCACATATCTTTCTCTCTTATTTACTATTACTGGTGGCTTGCAGTTTTGTGTCAGCCTCTTCCTGTTGCAGGCATGAAGAGGAGGGAATTAGCCTTTGCTCTGCTGGTTGTTGGAGACCATGTGGCATCAAGACACTGTACAAGGAAGAGGGCTTCTGTCCTCAAGAACATGTCCTCTGAATGGAGGAAAATGTACAGGGAGTATCTAGCATACCTGGAACTGGGAGCAGAGCCCAAGTCTCCTATGCACTTAGTCCAACCTCCCAGCTACTGGTTGGTACAGAGGCTTTCATGGCGCTCTGGCCTATTGATTTTTCATCTTTTGTGTGTGTGTTTTAGCTGCTGCTTTCTGGAATTCAGCTGAGGAATTTCTGAACTTGGGTGTGCAAATAAATGGAATGAAAATAAGTGAGACCCTGGGTTCCTAGTAGAAGCTGGTATTCTCTTCCTGCTGCTTGAGGATTCCTGTGGGTTGACAGGAAGTCTGGAGGAGGAAGGGTTGCAAATGCCTTGCTTTGATTTCCAAAATTGCCCCAGGCTGCAGATTTGACTGTTTTTGAAAAAACGTATTTCAGTATTGAATTTTCATGCAGAGGGGCCACTAATGCAGCTGACATCTATTTTCCTAGGCCATTTAATAGTCAGGGAAATCAGAAAAGAGTAGGGTGAGGAGGGCCTCATAAAGGATTTTTCTTCCCCTTTTGGCTTACAGCCAGTTCTTCTGAAAAGTACCTTTCTTGTTTCTTTTATCTATAAAGGTTTTCTGAACACTTCTCAAGGCATTGGGTCAAGGCATTTGAAACAGCTAGCTTAAATCATTAAGAATAGATGCTCCTTCATTGTGCTTACAGCTGGGATTTCCCACTGCCTCTCACAGGTATGTACGTATTCACGGAGAGGAGAAAAGCTTGACTTCTGCATAAACAGAACTATACTTGTTAGATGAGGCTTTTCAGTTGTTCTTATTTTCCTCATTTAAAAATACATCCATAAAACCAACCACGTGCTTATTTGAATGTATTGTGTTTGTGTGGCAAGGTTTTGGTAGCAGGGGGTCTACAGGGGTGGCTTCAGTGAGAAGCTGTGGAAGCTTCCCCTGTGTCTGCTAGAGCCAGTGCCAGCCAGCTCTAAAATGGACATGCCGCTGGCTAAGGCCAAGCATGTCACTGATGGTGGTAGTTCCTCTGGGATGACATGTTTAAGAAGTGGTGAAAAACCTGCACTGCTGCAGCCAGAGAAGAGAGAGTAAGTGGCAGAACCAACTCTGCAGATACAAACGTCAGTGAAGGAGGGGAAGAAATACTCTGGGTGCTGAAGCAGATTCCCCTGCAGCCCAACAGTGGTGCAGACTATGGTGAGTGAGGCAGGCTGTCCCACTGCAGCCCATGGAGGTCCATGGTGGAGCAAGTCTCCACCTGCAGCCTGTGGAGGGCCCCATGCTGGAGCTGGTGAATGCCTGATGGAGGCTGTGACCTTCCCTGCGGGCAGCAAGTGCTAGAGGAGGTGTCTGGCAGGACCTTTGGCCTCATGGAGAAAGGAGCCATGCTGGAGCAAGTTCACTGGCAGGACTTGTGACCCAGTGGAAGGGACCCACACTGGAGCAGTTCATGAAGCCTGTGGAAGCATTTGTGTTGGAGAGGTTTGTGGAGAGCTGTCTCCCATGGGAGGGATCCCACACTGGAGCAGGGGAAGAGTATGAAGAGTCCTTACCCTGAGGAAGAAGGAGAGGCAGAAATAATGTGTGATGAATGAACTGCAACTCCCTTTCCCATCCCCCTGTGCTGCTGGTCGGAGGAGATAGAGAAAATGGGTGAGGGAAGGTGTTTTGAAGATTTGGTTTTATTTCCCACTATCCTACTCTGATTTAATTTGTAGTAAATTAATTTTTCCCAAGTCAAGACTGTTTTGCCCATGATGGTAATTGCTGAGTGATCTCCCTGTCCTTATCTCCATCCATGAGCCTTTTGTTACATTTTCTCTCTCCAGTCCAGTTGCGGAGCAGGAGTGGTAGAGTAGCTTTGGTGTCAGCCAGCTCAGCCACAAAGGACCATCATGACCACAAAGGGACCTCTTAGGTGCGGAGATTATATTGTGTCTGCCTGAGATGGAGTTAATTTTACCCACAGCAGCCCTCATAGTGCTGTGCTTTGTACTGGTAGCTAGAAAGGTGCTGAATAACACATCACTGTTTTTGCTAGTGCTGAGCAGTGCTCACACAGCATCAAGGCTGTCTGTCCAACATTCCCCTTCCTGTGTGGGGTCTGTGGGGTGGGCAAGATTTGGGAAGGAACATAGCCAGGACAGCTGACCCAAACTGACCAAAGGGATGTTCTGTACCACATGGCATCTGCCCAGCAATAAAAGCTAAGAGAAAGGAGGAGCGGGGCATTTGTTATTATGTGCTAAGGTCAACCCACCAGATTGAGCCATGTAAGTTTTCAGAGATGGATCTTCTTATTCAAGCGTGTAACTTAAGAAGCACTCTGCATGCTGAATCTAGCTGTTGTACAAAGTGTCCAGTAGATAGAACTCTTGAAGACCTGACCTTTGAGCATGGAAATAGGTACTTGATTTTCAGTTAGCTGTATAACACTGTGTATGTGAACACAAACTGTGCCCCAGATACATATATGAAAATACTTTTCCTACTAACCTTAAGCTTTGCACAGTTAGGAAAGTGTACATTAATGTTAATTTTTGTCTAGTTGGATTGCACACAGAGAACACAGCATTTACCTTAAAGCCCTTTGGCAGAATTTCCTGTAAAGAGCCTAAACAATATATCTGGTTAGAGAACAGGAGACTGTATATTAGCATATACATCTTTATGCTTGCTGAAGTGTTGGCTAATGCTGCAAGTAAAACACTGGACTAGTGGCCAAAGATTTATCTTCATTCAGCCTGATTTCCACTTAATGCACCTGCTTATTTCTAATTTGATTGCCTCCCTTTAATGTGTTTCAAAACCAAGTACTTCTGTGAAAATAATTCAGATGCCATGAGGTGGAACAATTAAAATATACTGCTTGGTATAATTTCTTTCAGTCACTTTTAAGCAAGCATTTTGGAAGAGATGCCAAGCCTTCTGTGTTTTGGGGGCTTTGAAAAAATACTTCTGGGAATTAGGGGAAGATTTCCTTGGGTTCAGGTTGGGCCCACATTGCTTTCTGCAGAGCACCTTGCAGCTTCCAAGTGTGTAGTACTGGCCCTTTGCAGCAAATACAGTGTGAATTAAACTGTGGACTTCTGTTTGTGTACCAATGTTGGACAGTTAACTTGCATTAGGAGTGCATTTTTTTGAAGCTAATTCTCCTGATTGTTCCACCTTACTGCACTTAAATTTGAATAATGGAGTAGCTTAAGAGTGTGTATTTTATTCCTTTTTTGGATAAAAGTAAACTGTAAGCTGTGTTCCAGGAACACACATGATGTTCATAGTCTAGTCCAACGTACCCCATCCCAAAAGGCTGCTGCTGATGGGGGCCCTTGGGAACAACTTACTTTACAGATTTGTTCTTATTGGGCAGCATTTAGACAGCTTGGGAATAACTTGGGTAAGGCTATTGATGCTTAGTCTGAGATGTGCATGTAAGGGGTTAGGTGAGAGGAAAGGAGGTGGGGTGAACCAGCAGTGTGTAGAGCGAAAGGGGAAGACATTCTGCTTGCATACTTAAAAAGAGGGAAGGTTGGGGATATGTTGGCTGGTTACATCCTTGGCTGCAGTGATTATGAGATGGAGCTCAGGATCCTGAGTGGAAGAAACAAGACAAAAAGCAGAATTGCAACCCTGGACTCTAAATGAAGTGCCATCAGCTAAGCTGGGTTGTGGATATATTGAGCACCAAGAGAACATTAGATTAGAAACTAAATTAGCAAACTCTTTAATTTACTGGAATATATTCCTCAATTTTAGTATCTTCATATTTGTGTCATTCGTAATTTTTTTGGGAGCACTGCTCTTTTACAACTTTCTTCAGGAAAATCCTGTTAGAATTTGGGACAAAATATGTACTTTGTTGGGGTCAGATGCATGTGAAAGGGTACAGGCTGTAGCTGTTGCTAGGTTACGCTTATGTTCTTACACAGAAAAAGAAACCTGTGTATGTTGGGAGTGTTGTATGACAGGTCAAAATGTTTCTCTTACTGCATGGTCCCTGCTATTGTGTAATGAGTAGATCCTATGGTTAACTTTTCAGGTGATTGGCATTAGTTGAACTCACCTCTGAGTCAGTCTAATATATGCAAATCTTTCTTGATTCACACACTGGAAGTGTATAAAACATTTTTATTATGGGAATTTGCATCTCTTATGAACTACAATAGGAATAACAAAAAAATATGTTTCAATTTAAAAATTTACATTTTTTTATTGAAATAAATATAAATTGGATGTCTTGTTTGAAAATTTTGAAATGTGCTATGTAGGACATACGTCATTCTTTGTCCTAGCTTAATATGAATCAGCACAGGAATCCTGTGTTTAAATGTCTTGCCTGTATTACTGCTATTTGTGCCTTTAGTCAGGAATTCTGGCTACGGTGAGGGCCAACTTGCATCCTTTACCCTGGCAAGAAGGTGCAACAGTGCATAGATGGCAAAAAGTCTTACGCAGTCTTGTCTCTGAATGTTCTTTCATCACATGCTATTGCCCTTGAAAATCTGTTCTGTTTAATCACTAGAAGACTTGCTAGAGGTTAGTCTTCAACATTTGGGATATTGAGAAGCAACTGAGCAGTCCTGCTCCACAAACTGAAATGACCAGTTTGTGCAAGTCTCTTACTTGCACTGTATGGGGATAACTTGAATATCTTCCAGACATAACCCCTATATTGTCTGTGTGTGTCTTCCAGGTGATGTCCTGGGAAAAGTCTGTGATTTCTCTGTGCAGTCCTGTAGCTATTATTTTTATACTTTGGCTTCAGTTCTGTGACAGTGGCGTTGTACAAGTTATTGCATGTTTAAGCTGAAAGCTGCATTAGGAAATACCTGTAGGTTAAGCTACTGATAAAACAGTAGGTTTTATTTCTGAGACTTCTGGGCTTTTGTTCCATTCATGGGCTTATGTCTGTCTGGAATAACTTGTGGCGCTTGGAGAACAGTAATGCAGCAGGCACAACACTATTAAGTAGCATGGGTTTGTTTTACAAGGGGGTATTTTAACTTTACCATAGGCTGCACCTTTTACTTTCCTGCCAGTTCTGAATCAGGTGCTGTTTTCTTGCTTTCAGTGATATAGTTAGGCTTTGAAATTCACCTCTAAGCCTGAAGCTGTAAGTGAATCTCTTTGGGAACTATCATGCCTCTTCTCATTCCTGCTTAGTGCATCTAGTAAAATAGAAAATAAAACCCTGTCTAGGAAGCTGTGTATGCTGGGGCTCTTGAGTATCAAACTTCTCCTTTTGCTTGTTGGACTCAGCTGGGCCTTGAGGTGACATCTGGAAGATACTTAAAGCTGTTCAGCTGAGAAATACAGTACTGCTATGTTTGCCAATGAAAGCTTTTAGGGAGGTGATGAAGGACTGTTAGATGCCTTAAATGCTTTGTGGCAAAATAACAGTGCCTCATATGCTGGAAGAATACATAATCTAGAAAAGCAAGTCTTTGCTGCCCCTGCATTTTAGGAGAACAGTGAGCCAGAAATCTCATAGAAGTACAACATCATGAAAGAAAAACTTCCGGTTGCTTCCCAGTCTCTTTTAAGGGTGATTGTTTCAGGCTTTTGCTTTTAAAAAGCTAGCGAGAACACTTCAAGTATGTGATCTCTAAACTATAGATATTCTTGGTAAGTAAGGTTTTTAATCTTTAATTCAGTTTTCTCTACTTGCCTCCTTTTGGTATGGATAGAGGGAGAATAAACTGACAGCTGTTGGAATGTGG